TGCAGGGACGGGGCGAGCAGCTCCCACCGCCCCGGCTTTTCCAGGCGGAGAAATGCTGGAAGGGGCAGCTCTGGTCACGCGCAGGAACATCTTCCGCGCAGGAACATCTTCCACGCAGGAACGGGCTGATGTCCCCTTTTTCCTTACAGAGACACTGAGACACTTGGAGGAGGGAGGGAGGGAGAAGGGGGGTGACCAGCTGGGTCATTCCTTCAGGCATCGTGACTTGGCACGTGAGAGTTTCCACTATCGGCCTCAGGAGCAGGAACGACCCGTGTGGTGACAAGTCTGCTGTTCCCTTTCTGCGGGTCATCACAGACGGGACCTGGGCAGAACGGCTCATCCACAGCATCACAGGATGGTTTGGGTTGGAAGTGTGCAGCGCTGTTCGTAACTCAGTGCCTCAGAACACAAAGCAACCTTAACTGAGCGAGACCAGGTTGCTCAAAGCCTCATCCAGCCTGGCCTTGAACACTTCCAGGGATGGGGCATCCACAGCTTCCTCCCCCTCAGGCCTGTGCGGGTATTCCAAATACCGTGAGAGGGGAAGGGGAAGAAGTCTCCGACGGAACGCTCAGGTTAACCCCTGCAGCTCAATCTGTGCACACGCAGGACGACTCTGATACTCCGCTCTGCACCCCACGTCTCTGTGCAGTCAGGGCGAGGATAGCTACGTGCCCGACAAAGCGGCTTGCTTGTTGCCCCTGACAGAAACCGCGTAGGGAAACACCGGCTTCGCGGGAAGCCACGGAAAACACGGTTCTTCTGTGCTTGGAGACCAATGAGCTGTAAAACATTAACTTTCACTTGACGCTTCCAAATATAAGCTTTGTTCAAATCTCTGTCTCTGTAACATTTATAGCAAGGCGACAACAAACGTTGCAGCGCGGAGCACGGTGTCGTGCAGCTGGTGGCACGGCCGGAAGGTGCCGATAAAACTCAGCCGAGACCAAGGTTTGCTGCCTCCAGCAAGGTATTTATTTCAGAAAAAAAACCCAGTAAAACGTTTTCGATAGACACGTCATAAATACAGTGTAATAAAAAATAAATTCACAACTGTTCAAAACTTCCAGAACGAGGTATTTTACATACGCGAACAGCAAACAGGCCAAAGGACCGCGTTCCTAAATTCCGAACCCAGCTGAAAAAAGCTCGGAAAGCTGAGCAGATTTTTTATTATAGAGGTGTATTTTCAGCCTTAGCACAACGCGCTGTGTAAATCACGGTTCTAACGAACGACGCGCTTGCGTTACGTGCTATCTGGTTAACAGGTAACCACGTCGCAAAGTCCGCGGGTACCGCAGCACCCGACCAGAGTTCAGCTCAGCGTCTCGCCGCTGCTTCCAGAAGAACGATCTCCTCCAGCGCGACACAGTCGGGGTGGCCGGTTACGGAGCGGACGTAGCAGTTCAGTAACCCCACCTCCTTTCCCAGCACGCTCTGCACCTCGTAGCTCTGCAGCGATAAAAGCACGTTGATTAAAACAAAACCAGTCCCGGACATTCTGTTCTAAGCGGCATTCGGCCGGGGAAGGTGCAGGGTGTAAGCTCCTCTTCCAGCAGACGGGATTTTTCAGGACTCGGAAAGAAAGGTGCATTAGAACCGATGGAAAGAATGCACACACTAGATTTGCAATAATTAGATCTCACTCCTGCTTGAAGCGCTGCTTCCCTACCAGCTTTAAAAACCAGCTTTTTGAAAATCAGCTTTTTTAAAAAAACCCCAAAACCCCCCAAAAAGCTACTGCGCCTTTGAGCTCAATTTTGCTAAAGCAAAGCCTACATGTGCTCGCTCTACGTAGCTTTCTGACACGCGCAGCACTCCACACGTGCTCGCAATGTGTACGTACTACGCACCATTGACTAACAGATCCGCTGAAGGAAAAGCCTGGTTTGTAACTCTGTTTTACACCCCCCCTCCACACTCAACGCCGTGTTGCATCACGCATCCCTCACCGTCGCCGGCACCTACACCGTCCCTTCTGTTCCATCACCCGGCTGGCGGCTCACCCACAGGAGCTGTGCCTCAGCGGGTGGGTGGAGACCACGTCCCGCATGGGGGAGAGGGATGGGAGGCCGGGACGATTCGTCGAAGGGGGAGACGGCACGTGTACGTCCGAGCTGGTAAAACCGGTAGCCGTTACCTCGCTGGAGGGGGTTTCCATCCCAGCTGGCAGCTTTACACCCACCTCCTGCTTGCCTACGACCGGTCCCTGAACACGGATCCCGCTTTCACCGGGGCTGTGCTATAGAATCATAGCATCACAGAATGGTTAGGGTTGGAAGGGACCTTAAAGACCATCTAGTTCCAACCCCCCTGCCATGGGCAGAGACACCTTCCACTAGACCAGGTTGCTCAAAGCCTCATCCAGCCTGGCCTTGAACACTTCCAGGGATGGGGCATCCACAACATCTCTGGGCATACCCACGTCCCTCGCCCGATCCAAGGTATAAACAACCCTTTTACTCGTTTTCCAAGATTATTTTTACCCCAGACCGGTTCTGCAGTCCCACTCACCCTGCAGCTGCACAAACAGCCCTACAGGTCCAACGGACGGGTGGTCACGCCGTAAGGAACGAGCGGCCACGGCCAGTGACGGCTAAAACCAACCTCCCTGCCAAAAGTCGCATCACGAAGCTACTCCCTTAGAACCTCCAGCAGCACCGGCAAAACCCAACCAACCAGGCTACCTCAAGGGGCGTCTCTGGTGATTAATCTTCGTGGAGATGTGCTGCTTTTTAAAATGCAGCGGGTTCAGAGATAGAAATGCTTACGAAAAACAAAGGGAAAGATTATCCCTGCATTTCAGCGAGGGGAAAAGAAGTGTTTCTATGTTGCCAGACCCCAAACACTAGCATCATAAAGACTGAAACATGAAAAAAAGGTCATCTGAATCCTAATAACTTGAAAAAGGACTACATTTTGTCAGCCTGTAACCAAACCGGGCACATCCAGTACAATTCAGCAAGACTTAGCTGCTGTTAAAAGAACAAACACCTTTTGGAAACGTGTCTCTTAGCTCAAACGAAACACACAGCCCCCAGCCTGAGAGAAATAATTTACAATTTCAGCGAAATGTTCCACTTCAAAAATTATCCATAAAACCCATGGAGCACGTCCGTGGTTTCTAGCAAAATGCTAGAAGACGGTGTAAGACAGGGAAAGCAACGTGACCCCAGTACGTGTCACCTCACCGGAGACTCTTAACTGGGGTGATTAAACAAGATGACGAGATGATCTTTGCTCTCTCTCACGTGCAGCGGAGAGGGGGAGGATTTAGGGATCCTAACCGGACTTCGTCACCCTCTGAAGGTGCCGCTCCTCCGCTGCTGACCAGCCGCAGCCAATGCCAGCCCGGCACCTACCCGGGTGCCTCCCTCACCTGCGATAAATCTGGGTCACTGTGCCAAATGTCAGGGTTCTTCTGATATCTCTGATGAAAGGGACACCTACTTGGTGGTTACACAAACTGTACTTTAGCCCCTGGATGCCCGTGGCTTACGCGTGTCTCGTTCATACGACTATCGAGTATCATCTTGCGTGCGTTTTGGTGAATTCCTCTACTGTTACTGCCCGCCGCTAGTTTCACGCTCGTGCTATTAGGAAGCAGCAGTGCTCTATAGGGTTTAGAAGACCATTCCAAAAAGGTGGGATGCTTGGACTGTATCTTTGGATCCCCAGCCAGAAAAGGCCTCAGTCTATGCATCCCACCTGCGGCACCCGTCTCCTAAAAGGGAGGGTGTCAGCCTGATGATGCTCACAGGAGAGCTGGGCATCAGCAGGTGGAAGGTGGGATCGCCAAAGGGTCCAGCCCACTCTAATCCCAGGCTGGACGCAAGAAAAAAAGCCATTATTTCTAGTGAAATCTCCTAACGCTCCTGGTGCGGTTCTGAAACAAGCTGCCTGGAAAGGTGTCAGAATCTCCATCCTTGTGGGTTTACAAGAGTCTGCCAGCCAAAGTCACGTCTGACCCATGGCAACAGCCCACTGGGAGTGGTAGGTCGAACAACGACCCTCCAGGGATCCCTCTGGTTTTCAGGATTCGGGTATCTTCCCACCTGACTCACGTCTCCTGTACTCAGCCTCTACACGAAGTTTAACTTTCTTTTGCCAACACTCATTATACCTACCCCATCCTCACAGGCAGAGGACATCAGGAGAGAAGAGATTGTCCTTTGTAAGAGCTGGAATGAGAAAATAAACAGGTTTTCTTCACGCCAAAAACATTATGTATGCAATGATGTTCTCTTTGCAGGTTAAAACAGTCGAACAAAGATTTACCATTTTAATATAAAACAGTTTTGTTTCTCTGGCCAAGAAAGCAGAGGAGAGGTGACACAAAGGATGTTCAGAATGGGAGTCTAAAAATCCACGTTTCTCTTAGGCTGTGGAGAACAAAGTTTCCTAAGGCCCAATCCAACAAAGCCCTTCAGCTGGACCATAAACCAGTTTGGAAACCTCAGGGTGAACTCAACGGCTGCATTATTTGAGATAGACCTGGGAACTGGGTTCTTAGCCCAGTGAACACAAGTTTACTATCAGATTAAATTACAGGATACTCTTACATCTGTTCATTTTTCTTCTGACAGAGCTGTTTATAAAAGCGTGGCTTAGAGTATCTATGTGTCTACATATCTAGCCTCCCTACGCACATTTCATGCCATACCTTTACTTTTACTGTGCTCTGAGATCGGGACGGACAACTCAAGAAGACTTCCAGCTGCATTTTCAAAACTGGTGAAATGACAACTTCGGAGCACCGGTTGCAATATAGCAATCCTCTGAAACACGTGAAAAATGATGGAAGACCACAGGGAAATGGAAAAGTTATCATCACAAAAACAAACCACCCAACCAATCAGCTAGCTTATTCTCTGAGATATTTTGCTGGTAGGCTTCTAGCAGAAAAGCCCTGGTAGATATTCAGTTGGTAACAACACATCACGCACTTCTGTTGGTAGAGCTAAACAACTCTCTTGGAGGACCTGCACTCTTTTAGCAAAAGGATCTTCCTTTTCCAAGTTTTGCCAACATGGGGGGAGGCCGCTATTTACCTTATTTCTATTATATCACCTCACTTAAGCAAATAGTAATCTCATCACCGTCTAAAAGTTATCATAGAATCACAGAATGGTTTGGGTTGGAAGGGACCTTAACGACCATCTAGTTCCAACCCCCCTGCCGTGGGCAGGGACACCCTCCAGCAGAAGGCAAAAGAAAATGTGTAGTACAGATTTGGCCCAAGTGACCTATTGATTTAGGCCCTCATTCAGCCAACCTTCAACATTTTCAGCACTCGCTTAAGTCATATGCATAAAATTAAGATCAGCTATAAGTGGTTGTTGGAATAACATCTTAAACAAATATTGCTGCTACACTGTTCTCCAAATGAAGTTGTCCTTCACTGTAGAGATCTTTTATTTACTACACTACTATGTGTACGTACACGCATCCTTGGTTTTTGCATGACAGTACAGGACAACCTTTTTTTTTTATTTTCAGCCTTTTCCCCCCCAGAGGCTATATGCAACAAAACATAAATAGTAAACCTTCTCATATTTAGGAAAACGCCACCTATTTCAATGGGACCAAAGCCACCCAACTTCTCCTTATCCTTTTTGTAAGCTTTTTTCCAGTAGAAAGAACCTCCCTTTCCTTGATTTTACGCTCTGACTACTCTCTTATCCTCTCCTGTTTTTATCCCACCAGGTATCTCAGACTCTGCAAGAGCAAGCTGGCGCAGCAGCCCAAGGGGAGGCTTTCCAAGAGCGTGCCAGCATGACGCAGGTTTAGCAGTTCAGGTGGCAACAGGTCCCGTCGGCTCGGTCTTCCCAGCTGGGGCAGTCGTACTCCCAGAATTATTCAACATCCTTCTTAGAAAGGTGGTGAATTTAATAGGTCTGAAGTGCTTCTCTTTCACACTTGGGTAAACTACAGCAAAGATCGCAGCTTGGTGTAAAAATGAGGGGAACTGGTGGTACGCAGGGTAACAAGGTAGGATGGAGAAACACGGCAGCTACTTTCCAAGGAGCTTAGAATCAGACCTGTGATTTATGTGGATGTTTATTAAAGTTAATATTATAATGCAGTGGGCTGTGAAATCTTTATAAGCAATACTTTTAAGATTAGTTTGAAAAAAGATGTGATAACTGCAAATTCAAACCGTTTCATATCTACTTGTATCGTTCTTAATAAATTAATCTAACCTTGCAGGTTTTATCAGTTCATCAGCAATAAAAATACTACGTCTTAGTTCTAGGAAGGAACAAAGTGCAGCCTGTGCCTGCAGGAATCATTGCATCACCTACTGCTGTTATGGCTACATCTGCAGAACACCTGGAGTGCTCCGGAGCACGCTGACTCTCACCTGTCCTGGGGACACGGTTCCAATTTTCCATTGCCACATCTGTCGCATGTAGGCCAGGAGAAAGCAGTGCTCTCATTAACTCCAACAACGGTACCTGCAGAAGGTGAAATCCTTACAAAATACTAACGGTAAGCTAGCAAACAGAGTCACTCCTGGCTTCACAGAAGGTTTGATCCTTTCTGACCCTCATCTTAAGAACAAGACTTGCTGGAGCAAGCAGCAGCTCTTCCAACAGTTTCTCTCCCTTTCTCCTTCGTCCCTCCAACAAGGGATGAGAGTACAGCAGAGTGTGTTGCCTTCTTAAAATACCAGGAGGTAGAGAGTTGATAATTAACTTTCCAAACAGGTTCAGTTCTTCTGGTTTGGGTTTTATCAGGTTGTTTTTTCTGATTTGTTTTATTTTGTTTGTTTTCTTTCTGACCCTCTGATGTTTCCTTGGCAATAAACAGCTATAAAAATCATCAGGTCAGATAGCTTGATATCGATAATTAGGAAACACAAACCAATGAGAAGACCCAATCCCTTTTAAACACAACGGTGCCAGTTAAATTCCATTAACAATGGAGTTATTCTTCATTTATACCGATTTAACGGAGATTAGATCTGGCCCAGAGATTTAAGTGTGTGCCTAAGAAGGGAATGCCAAAGATACTTTGGACTAATACAAAGGGCCTCGCTAGTTTTGGCAAGAAAAAATATATTCCGCATTTTAGGAGATGCCAATAAAGAGTGTATTATGTTTTATGGTAACGATATGCTGAAATTATGAGCATTATTTATGGAGAAAATACTTCTAAGTATTTTGAAGCATATAAAGTGGATCACCTGTAAAAGTGAAATTACACTAAAATAAACACTCACTGGTACAATAGGAGTATAGACTAAAAATCCCAGCTCCTGTTGAGCAAGAATCTCACAGTTTTTTACTGCATTCCATAAAGGAAACCTTTGGAGGCCAGAAGGCATTTACATGGTCTGGCCTGTAAGACAGGGTGGTGATCCCTTGCTTTCCTGGTTCTCCTGGGACCAGGACAGACAGGAGGGAGGGAGCTACACATAAACAACAAACCAGTAATTTTATGTGGGAAGTCAAAGGACCACAAGTCTGAAGATCAGGAAAACTTCTTGAGTACAACATTTATGACCCAATTTCTATGCATGTAACGAAACAACATGGGTTTCACTGACGGAATAAACAATTCTGTGAACTTAACCCCTTGGACTGTTACAGAAATAATTTTGATTCCTCATTTTTTTTTGTGATAAACTGGGAATTTCCATCAGCACTTGCTACTACAAGGTAGGACGCTTTCTGTCAGTGAAAAGAACCCAAACAAAACCAAGTCACCTTTTCCAACAGATGTGTTTCTTCTCTCTAAGCCTTTTAGCCTTCTCCCAGTTGCGTGACATATCACGAGTGAAGGATACCAACGCGCAAGTAATACAAGGACACGTGAAGAAAACGAATCAGGGTTGTAGTGACGAGATTATGTCTAGTGGAGAGGTGTATTTTGATGAAAATGTAGAGTTCCCTCAGGAAAACCACCAGAGACCACTGAAGTCAGAACAAACACAACTGAAGGCGACAACGGATCTCACAGTGACAGTCTTGTGCATCCTGCCCGCGGAGCGATTTCTCGGCTGAACTGCTGCACATCTTAGTCAAGGCTTTAGATTTTGCTTGAGGTTCACAAACCTTTTGGATTACTTTCCCGAGATCCTTCTTTTAAATGGAAATGCACATAGCCTAAATGCAATTTTTCCCTCCAGTCTATTTTTATGGGCTGTGGCTGACATTATTAAGAAGAGACTGGTAATAGGGCAACACCTAGAAAAACAGGTCTCTGGTGAGGAATGCAAAGAAGGGCTAAGGCTTAAAAGTAACACTCTGACTGAAACGTTAAAAAAAATGAATGTAGGTGTTGGGGTTTTTTTTCCCATCAGTTACCCTGATTAATTGGACAGGAAGGTGAAAAGTTCAATCAAAAAGAGAAACCTGCTGATTGACCCCATTTTGTTCACACTGTTAAGAGGGAAATTGATTAAAAACTCACCTCTGAGTAAGGGCTTAAATATGAAGATATCCAATGCCAAGGTTCAATCACTGGTGGTGAGTCATATACTATGCAAATATCTCTAATCAGGTAATATTCCCACATAACGTACGTGGTATGGACTAAGTAGAATTTGCTCATAAGCATGGTTAAGAGGCAAAACAGTTCTGTGCAGTATGAACTGCTAACATTTAAGTCATCCTGACTGCTACTCTGCAGCAAAAAGAGATGAGAAATTGCTTTGCAATGCGCAGTGATAAGAAAATAAATCTATTAGCCCCGAGCTCACAGGTGAGAACCACAGGCTCATCTTTAAAAGAAGAATAAACTTTCCAGTAGAGAGCAACCACAGGTTTTCACTCATCTGTTGAAGAGCAACACACTCCATCCAAGAGCTGATAGGACTGGACCTCCCTGAAAAGAGGATTTCTGACAAACTCAGTGGCTCTGCTTGGACTGCAACATCATCCTCCTTTAATGGGGAAGGAACCTCCCAAGTTCCTCCAGTCTAAGCTCCTGCTCAAAGCTGGGCCAGCTATACAGTTGCTCAGGGCTCAGCTTTGAGCAGGATTTAGGACTGGAGGAACTTCAGAGGCTCCTTCCAACCTAACTCATCCTATGTATACACCTTCCAAAAAATGACGGATCTACCTAAAATCTGGCAGGCAGCATGGACTGTGTCCCCCCAGTCCTGGGACTCCTGGAGGCTCTGATGCTGTGACCTATCTCTGCATCTGAGGATGGGGACTTGAATGACCCCCAGCATTTTCCGTTGGGGAAGAAGTTGTTTTTCTAGGGAAGGTTGAACCTGACGAATCCCTGAGAGCCAGCAGGAGCAGCCATGACTGCACAGGAGCAGGAAGGAGCACTACCTCAAGAAAGGGTAGAGTAAAGCCTTTGCAGCCTCTTTAACTGTTAGGTGAGAGGAGGCCTACGTACAGCATACGTAGGTGACCAAAAGCACAGGGGACGAAAGGGGGGCACTAAGAAAAAGAATGAACAAGGTAATACTGCTCCTCATTGAAAGGCAGAGTAACAACTCTCTGAGTTAAGGGATAGAGGCAGTGAGCGAATTTGAGAGATGATACATTTTCCTGTATGGGTTACACCACAAATACATATTCTCCCACCAACAGAGTAGGGCTAATGCTATTGGTTTCACTTCAGCAGAAAGATATAGACACTAACTAATTGAACTGCAAAACAGTGGTTACGTATCTTAAATGCTATTCAATTTAGTTATACATAAAAGTGAGAGTTATCATCTATATACAGCATTTGCATAGGTATAAAGAAGATACTTCATGTTGGTACAAAGGTGTGGGAACATGCTAATAACAGCCACCCTGGACAAATTTCAGATTAAGCAAGACAAGGCTGTAGGATTAATTTCTCCTTTTGTCTTTCTTCCATCTGTAATACAGAACAGGGAAAGCATGACACCTCCCATGTGTGTAAAGTAAGTGCTTGTTTACACTATAGATCACAAAAGTGTATTTTCTTCGCTCTACTGGAAAAAGAAAGGGCAGAGAAATATTTGCTTTATTCTGCTATGTACACTGTCAACAGGACAAAAGAAGACAGGCACTTCTCATAGTTATAAAATTAACAGCGGAGAAGTGATAAATCTTAGCGTAACTATTGGAAAGATTAAAAAAAAAGCCTAAAAGTATTTCACGCCCAGTGAGAGAAACATCTTTCAAGTAACACCCAATATCGATGTGAGATGTACACAACGACCAGGGCCTGCCTCTTGTTTATCATTACGCAGTGTTAGAGCTGAAGACTGGCGGCTGCAAGGTGCTCATTTATTAATCAAGGAGGCATTGCTTACTTGTGGCTCTACCCTAAGAGAAGGTATGTTTAGCAACAGCTTTGCGTGGTTTCAAACCGCCTTCTCAGTGCATCCCAACATAGCTGGAAGGATTCATTCGTAACCTTTACCTGCTATTGTTTTAAAGCTCATTTCAAATGCTCCAGTGAATACTTGAAGGTGTAAATGTAAAAGAGCATCGAGAATTTTCTACAAGGGCTACTGGAATCGTAAGAGTTAAATTAAGAAAGGAAACTGCCTTTAAAAGCCAAGAGTTACTGGGCTTTTAAGGACTTTTCCCTATAGGCACTTTACGACCAGGAGGTTTAAGAAGCTGACTGGACAAAGCATTAGAAAATACACAGTAGGAAATGCTTCTGCATGATTAGGAAATGTTAGAAAATATATTGTAAGAAATGTTTCTGCATGGTTAGTGGTAGGACTCAAATATTAGACAAAGCACTGATCCAAAGTGGCTGGTGAGCAAATATTGGCCAAGTTATGCTAGATGACTATGGTGAAATATTAAATTGGCCCACTGCAGCAAGGCTCCAGGGAAATCAGACACTAACCCCTACCATTCGGGATCTGGCTAACAGATCTTATCCATCTGCCTAAAAAATACTGGTATACCTTACTGATGCCAACATCAACACGGCTGGTGTGAACAGAAGGCTCCTGAAAGAAGACAGCGAAGGGAGGAATATAATAAAACAGATTGTGCATCAAATATGTATTTTGGGGTATGAGTGAGTGGGAGCAGAGCTTGGCCAGCAAACGGCAAAGAGAACTCAGAAAGAAGTACGAAAACTTAAATATCCTAATGACCCACAGCAGTACTGTGCTTTTTGATCCCTCCATGCTGTTCGTGCAAGAAATCGATATGAAGACCTGAAAGATTAAAGTGAGCACGAGTAATTAACTGCATTCACTTCAGGAAAGGCCATACAAACCTCTTACAGCACAAACGGAGTTGGTCTGTGTTGTAGAATCCAGCTCATCGAGTCTGACAGGGCCAGTCAGCTCACTGAGGTCAGCACCGGCAGCCGAGGACAAAAGAGTCTTTTGTAATAAGAGAACAGTACGTTCAACACAAATAATCCTACCTGCCAACAAAGACATTTCAACTCAGTACAGTAACAAGGAAAAAGGTGACCATGTTAATCGTCACGGCCAAAAAAGACAACAATCTCTGCCAGCTACTAAACAGATGGATAGACTCCATCAGGTTTTCTCAATGACAAAATATTTTGCTTTCAGCGACACATGCATCACCCTCTCGTTACACTTCGCGGCTCCCAGGGGAAAAAGGATGGTTTAAAAATTCGAACATGGCAGAAGAGAGCCCGATTACACCCAGACTGCACCTCATCACGCTCCCTGCACACACAACTGGAGTCTGTCCCCTAGCAGTAAGCCTGGACACCCCCCTCTTCAGGGTGGGAGGGGGGGTGTCTTATTTGTTTCCAAGATTAGAAAGAGGAGGTGCATGCAATGCTTCATTCTCCAAAGCAGAGATTTTTGCATCAGGACACACAGCCATTGACACAGGTTGGTGCTGCCAGTCCACTTACATTTTGGAGGTCACTGAAGGCATGTGAACTACCTGTGCAGGCACCATACAGAGCCACACTGAACCCCACAAAAGAGCGACTAAAAATGAACGTAAAACGAACCACCGCCCTTACACGATCTGTACGGTGGCGAAGGCTCGCAGCTAAGATGGTAAATGGAGTTTGTAAAATTTCTGTATCCAGGGATACGTATGTCTCTTTTGCTCCTTTTAGAGGTTGTGAAGGTCAGTAAAACAAGTTTCTACAAGAATATCACAACTAATGAAACCAAGTTTCTTAATATTTTTGAGTCTCCTGTCAGCTAGTAAATTTAACTGATGCTGGTCATTAGATTCAACAGTCATGAGGGAAGACTGACAGTAATACTGGTGGACATATAGAAGATCACTGAATTTCTCACTTACTTTGGAGATCGAGCCAAAAATATAAAAAAGAAACCTTACAGGAAAGCTCTAATTACAACTCATTTCGCATTCCTCATCCCAAACATTCAATGGCTCATCTTCATGTGCAAACTGAAGTCTCCCTGCGTCCCATATGGCAGTGTCAGAGATTAGGATGCCATACCAGTTCGATTCCAACTGCTTGAAAACCACAGGTGAAGCTTACCGTTCCCCCACAGCGCGTCCTTGAAGAAGACGAGTCGCGAGGCAACACCGAGGGCTTCTGTGATTTCCGTACTGAGAACGCACGATGCAGCGACTGACACAGCAACAACTTTTGGAATCGTATGAACCACGTTTTGCAATGTGGAGTCAGTCACAAACAACCAAATCTCTCTTTGATTTATAGGAACACTGTGTTTTGTCTACGATTTCCAAAAAAAAAAAAAAAGAAACAAAACTGGAATGCAGTTGTTAATTTTTAGTAGAAGGAAAGACTAAAATAACATCCTAATATTTAAATAACTAATAAAACTGACAGAAATTATTACATTTAGGGCTCGTACAGGATAATGAATCAAAACTTTATGGGAATGTTTCGTGATTCCTTACAGCAGACACAACATTTCGAGGCTGACCCTCTGGAATCTTGGCTTTACCTCTACCAACTATCAAGCTTTAGCATAACTCTTCAGCATAACCCTTGGGCTGTACAAGGGGTTTGAAAATTTATTTAATTTTACAAAGTTTATATACTATAT